GGGGGGGGGGGGGGGGGAGGGCTAAACGAGCCGTCGGCTGCGCGCTTCTGCAACAGTGCTCTCGCGTATTTACCCGCTAACGATGGTAGGTGTTATTGTTCCCTTTTTTAATCGCCCTTCCGATATCGCTGTTGATTCGGCGCGGAGAGTGCATTATGCGCCGCGTTATTTATGATCGTCCTTCGTCACGCGCGTCACGCTGATTACGTTTTTAATTCGCTCGCGTTAATCTCTTCTTTTCCCGTGCACATTCCGCCGACGTTCCCCGAGCGTTTATAAATTCCCGATTCGTGAGACTCTCGCGAATTCTTGGATCTTCAAATTTTTTTAATTCTTGGATTCTAGGATTCTTAAATTCGCGTCTCTAAAGAGAGACGACGTCGTTTTATTAGAAATACTTTGGCACGAGATATTCCTCTGCTGTCTTTGTGTGCGAGCGAGCTTTGAAATCGCGGCTGGCAAAGCCCGCGACGACACTCCGCGTGTCCCATGCAATAATGCCGCGGGATTTAATTAATATTTTATTCATATGTACAGAATGTCTCGCTATAACTGGCCGTTCTTTTATCTTCTAAAGAGGGAGAAAATAACAAATATATATTTATTATTTTTATAAATTAAATGATTTTTTAACTGAACTCTATTATGAGCAAAATGACTGTCTGTAAGATTTACCTAAGTTAGAGAACAAGATATGTCTAATTTTTGATGATAATATGGATATTTCGACGCAATGAAAGTTATAGCGCTGTTTGTAACGAATGCAACGATGTACGACATAATGGAATTATTTTATGAGTTCTACAAGAGAATTTTGCCGGTGTAAAGTAAATTCACGGGTAGCTATTATAATATGTTTGCGTTTTCGAACCCGCCGAGTGTAATAAATTTCCCACTTCTGCATTAGCGGCTGACATATCAGTCTGTTCGGATATCAAATTAATGACTGTATATTTAATATTATATGTCAACTAATAATGTGCAAGAGTCAGAAACTGGCTATTTGGTAGGACTGAAAGTATAAATGTAACAGCCACCTGTGAAACTTTATACCGATAAAATTTGTAGAGAATCTTACAACATAATTCCATTATATTATGCATCGTTGTGTTCGTTACAGACAACGCAACAACTTCCATGATATCGAAACATTTATATTAACGTAACAAATTACGCACACTTTGTTCTCTAATTTACATAAATTTTATAAACAATCACTTATGAGATGCGCTTATAAGAAAAAAAGTTTTAGTTAAAACATCACTTAATTTAATATATAGAATATTTATTATACTCTATATATCTCGCTCTTTTTATCTCTCCCTTTTAGTTTAGAAGATAAAAGGGATTGTGGCCACTTTTAAAGTGCATATATATATATATATATAAAAGATATCCTATACATATCCACGACTTAATCCCTATGACGATAATCGGAATACCTGGGGAAACTCGGCGAGTTTACGTCGCGTCGACACGTCGGTCTTCTAGGCGCAGCCCAACTTTCGGTGGTTACTCCGCGAGTTAACTGAAAACAAAGCCCGTAGCGACTTCGGAAAGACGAGCGTCCAAGTTCCGTAACGAAGTAC